TTCATTTATAATGAATATCCTTCTAACACATCATAAGTAACCATTTAACTTTTTATATCAAACATCAATTCTGGTTACCTAAGTAATACAATGTTATACTTTTCTTTGCAATTTCTTGAATCATCTAAAGTTAAAATATATCATAGCCCAAAGGGCAATCTAATATTTGGTCAAAGATTGAGTATTGTAATTGCTATCGTTCTCGAAATATATAGCCTCAAAGTTTTCAGGTCAATGGTCAAAATCAAGAGAACTACGGATAAATCGAAAAAAGTATTTAATTCATTATGTGTACAAACAATTTTTATTGCCGAATAATAAGTTTCAGCTTGCTTAATATTACGGTCACAGAAAAAGGCCAGTTTAACTGAAAATCGAACTTATCTATTTTACATAAAATCGGAATTTTTTTTCACGTAATAAAGTGCATTTTCTGGTTGACCATCAAAAGTTACACCGAGCTCATTAGTTTCATAAAAATATCTGCTTCCATAATTGTACAAAAAGCGATCAAAGTTTCAATTTCGAACTCAATTTTCTCGAAATCTATTGATCATAGAGGTTTTTTAAGAGCACTAAAGGATTCAGTTTTTCTGTCCCTACAAGTCTACAGTGTTTAAGTTTGAAAGAAATTCATTTTTACCCGTTTTTGCCCATTTGTCTTGCAGTGTTTGTGTCTATTTGTGCATAAATGTTACAATTGTGTTTTTAATACCAAATTGTCAATAAAAGCAAATTTACATTCCCAATTCGTCATTGATAGCATTATTTATTAGCATAATTTCATTACGTCGATGTTATTCACTGAGGTCTTGAATTATACGTCTCACTCTAACTCTGAATTTACACAGAAGCCCGATGATTAACCTCTCTTTATCATGCAAAGAGAAGAAAAGCCTCGAAATTAATGCATCTGATCAAACGATTCCTAAATAAGGTGTTAAACCCCATAAACAACACAAAGTGTTAAGGAAAATGGGCTTTTCTCCCGTAGTAACAGACTCGAGTTTGTTTTGCATTGATCATTAAACAATAACAATTTTTCTCAAACATTTCTAGTTTTAGTTTCTGATTATTTTCATCATTGAAAGTTGAATCTAGTTTTGTTACTTCAGTGTTCGACAAATTTCCTAATGGTTATACAGGTCATTACTATGGCTATTACTATTCTTACTAATGTAAGAGTGTGAAGATTGGAAATCATTCTGATGTTAATGGCCGAAAGAAGACCGCAGTTACAAGACTGTTACTGCTTTGCATAACTTCATAACATCACTTTGAAAACCATAAAAGCTAAGTTTCCGATGCATCATTAAGGTAAATATGAAATTTCTGTGAAATTTATGCATCTTGCTATAATTAACTTCAAACTTTAGCAATTTTCAAGCTTTCCTCACTTTAATAACTTTGCTGAACATTATTCAAAAGTACAATTGACAAAAGAATTCCGTGAACGGGTACAGCTTCGCGCTGGTTTCCAAATCATATTTCAAGAACTTTCACAAACAATTGGTACTCCGGTTGGGAAAGTATTGCTACTGTAAATGTCCAACAATGTTCAGTGATATAATGATGATGTAGTGATAGTAAAAATTGAGTTAATTGTTATATAAAATATCCTTGATTAAACTTGGAATGGACTAAGAATTGAATTGAAAAGACTCTCAAACTGCTGTCGAGATTGAAGTTTCATCAAACAGAACTAACAAGTTTATCTGTGTAATCTTTATTCCATTCATCAGCGCTCAATTTACGCTTTCGTTTTTGTTTTTCAACAGCAATTTTTGAATATTAATAAAAGGATATTCAAAAACAACAGCTCCAATCAAGCCAATTATTTGCGATAGAACCCAATGAGACAGAAAAAGACTTATCTGCAGGATAAATAAAAGTTATAATAATTTGACGAAAATCAAGTAAACAATTCTGATGAATATTGGGTTACTTACAGCGGTGAATGAATCTGTAAAAAGCAAGCTTCTTCTCGATCCCATGTAAGCAAAAATGAGAATTAAATGACTTAAATAGACTGCATAAGATATCCTTGCAAATGGTATGAATATTGGTAAGCTCAAAAACTTGTCGATTAAACCTTAATCAAAAAAGACGAGAGAAATTAAAGTTAATCAAATGTTTTTGCATTAAAAAAGTTTTACCTCCATGACCAGATGCTGAAGCATAAATGATCCAAGAGACAGATAGTGACCAAATTACTCTACTAGTCGACTCATAGACCATCACAGCCCATTTAGACCAAGTTTTACCAATGGCTAAAGGATATGGAGCATGAAGAACGGTGAAAAGGGCGAGGATTACCATTACCCAAGCAAGTATTGATACATTCTGAAAAGGAAACAACGAGAATTGAATTTGTTGAAAGTTGTGTTCTTATTACACTCAGATATTTACTTTGGTTAGTTTGATGTACTTTTTTCTCGCAATTAAGTAGCCCAAATACAATCCACTGAAAAATGGTGGTCCATGAATATAAGGTTTCCAGAAAAAGTTGACAATAAAATCATTCCAAAACTCTCTACCAGAAAAGCAACTCGAATGATTAGAATGGGTTATTAAAATGAAATGTAATTAAACTTACTCCACTTGAGGGAATGTTGGTAAAATTGAGATTGGATAGTTTCTGGTAATGTTGATGAACGCTGAAGTCGCAACGAAACATGAAATTATGATTGAGTTGATGGTGATTCCCAACCTTTGATTCTTCATCAATGGAATGAGAACTAAAACTGACAGAATGTGGAAAAACATATCAACGGAGAGCCACCAAGTGGAAGATAAACACTGAATAATAAAAGGAAAGGGGAATTTTGACATTTAGTGAAGTACTTTGTAAAATATATTGCGAATTATGAAGCAAAGAAAACTCTAATTTACAATTTCTTTGGTTTTATAAAATGATTGAATGTAAAACATGTTAATCCACCAATTATTTTCACAGTCTCGACCGAATTGAGCAACAAATTCATTCCAAAGTGGCCCTGAACCCATCGTCGGTAAAAGAATCGTTGCACACATAGCAATTATCATGAATGGTGTTAGACGCAAATAACGAGTGACAACGAGCCAAAATGTATTGAATTTATTGTGTGAACCATTTGTCATTTGCCAGGTCATATAAGAAGTCAAGAGTCCACTAAAAGCGGAATAATTAATAACTTTGCTGCAATATTTCGATGGTAAAAAGATGTCCCTTTAATCTTACCTGATCAAGAAAAAAGTATCAACAGTAAGTGAAGCATTTAAAAGTGCTTGAACACCGAATGGTTTGATCAGGTCGATAATGTTGAATGAATGGCCTGGACAAAAGATCAATGTTTTGAAGAAAAGTTATAATAGATTCATGCAAAAATCGCTCAAAGGTTTGTTTATTGTGAATAGATATTTAAGTTTCTTACTGAAAGCATGGAAATTTATTTTGACCACAGTATGACCGAAGACAATCCAGGACATTGTTAAAACTCGGATTCCGTTAAGACATTTTAATTCTGGATGTTTTGGACTTGAATAGAACAGCGAAATGAAGTTTCTTTTGATCGAGAAAGCAAGTAACAATGAACTGAACAACGAATTGTCTGTTTCTATCGAAAGAGTAAGTCAAATTTATGCAAACAAAATTTAGATTTGTCAGTTGTTCGTCATTCAAATCATACGTTCTTACCGTATATTTTAATTGTATCAAGAAGAGTACCGATTA